GGGATAAAAAATAATAATAATAAAAAAAAAAAAATTGGTGGGCGTTTCTTCCAGCTATGTCTGGTTGTAATCTTGGTTGGGCTTGCTGGGCCTGTTTTTGCCCCTCGGGTTAACTCGGTGCTGGACTCACTTCTGTTGGGCCTTTGGTTCATGCATGTTTTGGTCTGATTACTTGGCTTGCTGATATGTGGCATTCTGTGAGTGGTGAGAAAATTTCCTCAATAGGTTGTATGTTGTTGGCACTTACGGTGAAGGATTAAGTGGAAAAGCTGTTTACTGGTCTCACAAGGCTCTCTGGCGACACTGGTGTTTGGTTTTCTTTAATTGGTTGATTATTGTTCTCCGTGGTAGAAAGAGAGAGTGGGAGAGAAAGATTTGGCTTTTATGTTTTTTTTTTTCTACACGCAGATCCGAATGAGTAGTTTCATGATTCGACCATGGATCCTGCGATGTTGAAGAAGAGAAGTTTAGATTGAGAAACTGCTAGGGATTGAGAAAGAGAACGAAATTTTAGAAAGAAAATTTTAGAATGGTAAAAGGATAATAGGGTAAATACACACAAACAAGATACCAAAGAAACTTTAACTTCAAAGGCAATTAGCTCTCGTGATATGCAATTACAGCTCTGAGGCAGCGACCGAGAGTTGCCACAATCGTCTTTGACTCCAAAAGGAAAAAATGCATTGATAAAGACACAAGACTATTTTTTACAAAAACAATGCATTGTTTTACAGAGGACTACTTATATAAAAATAAATACTATGGACTAATGATTAAAAGGACAGTTATTTTATTTTTATTTTTATTTATTTTTAAGCACACACTCCTTTAAGAAATTGTTTGCATCTATTACGCTGTCAAACAATGAAAATTTCAAAGGACAATTTGTTTTACAAACAAAAGTTTTTAATACCCAGTTGTTCATTAATTATACATATTATGATTAGTTTTTAACTAATTAAGCAACGATTGCCAATATATATATATATATATATATATATATATATATATATATATATATATATATATTCTCGGGTTTTATAACATATTTCTTTCCATAGGGATTTTCTTTCTATGCACCCTTTTCTTTAACATTAATTAATTGGGTAAAGTGTAAAAAATATCTTTGAATTATTGCTCTTTTGTAAATAAACTCTTTGAACGACAAATTGTCTCTTTGAATTACTCCATCTGTTTCAAAATAGTTGTCTACATTGATATTTGTAACTCATAAATATCAATATGGACATGTATTTTGAGACGGAAGAGTATTAATTTATTATAATTAAGGACAAACTCATTACAAAAGACTATTTTACTCTTTCTCATTAAATTTGTCATTTCTTATTAAATTATTTTATTATCTTTTCGTTTATCTAATTAATATTAATTATACTTTTATCTTAATTTTATTATTAGTATCAATTTATCATAAAAATAAAAAAATTAAATAGATTATAACTACCATTTTTTAAAATGATTAAATTATTATTAAAACTTTACTATTTGCATTAAAAATTATTATGCCTAGGCTCCTTTTGTTTCGACGTAAAATATTCTTTTTGAAAATTTTTTTCAGGTAAAATATTCTTTTATTTTTACTTTATCGGTATTTGGCAAAGGTCTACGAGGTTTTTTCTTCATAAATATTTTACGACAACCAAACAATAAAAAATAAAAAATATTTTCTGAAAAATATTTTACGTTAAAACAAAAGGAGCCTTAGTTTAAACTTTCTTACATTAGAAAAATACCTTTTTTTTTATACAACATATTCATGAAAAATTAATAAATTACTTAAATAAAAAATTACCTTGTTTTTCATGCAATATATCCATAAAAATTTAAGAAATTAATTAAATTATTTTAAATATTTCTACCTAAGATTTTTATTTAAACAATTCTTTTAAAAATTTAAAGGTAAATTTATGCAAATTTAATGGAGAACATGTTATCAAATTAGTATGATTTTTTAAAAAAATTTATTTTAATAAGAAAAATATATTAACTATAATTTAATAACAATGGACAGTATGATCATTTAATAAATTAATGTATTTTGTAACAAAATGTGATAGTTTTTTTTTTTTGTTTCCTTACAAAATGTGACAGTTCAAATAGCACAAAATATACTTCAAGAGATTTAATTGCACATATTTTATGGAGTTTTTTTTACACTTTACCTAACTAATTTGTACAATTGTAATTTTATATGTATATTATATAGGGTTATTGTGAATTTAACCTATCCATACTATTATTAAAAATACAAGGTGTCAAAAATTTCAAATCATCATTATGTATAAATAAATTATTAAAAATAAATAAATAATAAAATGAGTTACCAATTAAAAGATTTTCTACCTAATTATTGTGATTTTTTTCTTAATTAATATTATTTATTATAAGTTACCAATTAAAAGAAGAGTTTCTATAAAATTATTACCTATTAATATAGAAAGAGTTTTTAAAAGAGTTTCTACTTAATTATTATGATTTTTTTCATAATTAATATTATTTATATATAATAAATGATAATATAAAATTATTGTTCTATATATATAATAATAATAATAATTATTTTTTACTTTATTGTTACACATAACTATTTTTTTTTGAAAGGTAAATTTCAAGATATATATATATATATATATATATATATATATATATATATATATAAAAGTGAACCAACTAATGTACAGTTATTGTACACATACTAGATATATTTTACTAGTATATATAGGGAGGCGATATTTGCACAATCGCACTTCACTTTTTACCAATTACACTACATTTATTTTTTTCTTGAAGATTTTTGAATTCATTAATGCACCATCATTTATTTTATAATATTATAGTTACCCTTTATATAACTATTAACTTATTTATTTATTTCTCTTTTGGAGGTCCTCCCAAAAAAGATAATTTATTTCATACTGACAATTTTATTCTTGATCGTCAAAAGATATAATTTATTCAATAGTGGTTTTTTTTTTTTGTTGGGTACAATCGAACCAATAATTTATTTAACATTTAAATTTTTTTTTTTTTTAATGAATCAAAAAAAATAATTTATTCAATAGAAATATATATATATAGGGATAATTTTATTGATATCTTTGAAGTTTGGCCAAATATTAGTTTAAAATATCTTTCAAAAATAACTATCATTTAGGCCACTTTTCGCTTTTCCGTTACGGTCTCCGTTAAAAGTTTAAAAAAAGACATGTTTGCCCCTAATTTTTTAATTACATTTATTCTAAAATATTAGATAATATAAATGACTTCTATACCCCTACACACTATTTCTCTCTCTTCTATCTCCATACGTTCCCTCTCCTATCTCTATTGCAAGAATGGAATTACTAAACGGCGTGAAGAGCAGCGGCGAGCAAGGAACAGCGACTGGCAAGAATCTGACCGACGGTGAACACTGTTCTGTGGTGTGGCGAGCAAGTAGTATATCAAGGCTAGCGATGCAGTGGACTGAGAGATGGAGCGGCAGCTCAGGCAGCGGCGGAGGGACATGTACATGGAGTTTCCGGTAACTCACACCGCACCACTGCCCAAGCCATGGAGTTCGGCGAGAAATTCGTCGGCGCCGGCAGAGAAGAAAAGACAGCCTTCCACTTAGTAAATCCAAAATTGACTCAATCGTGGGAAGAAAAAGAGGCCAGAGCATCTCCTGGGCTAAATAGGGAGAGGAGACCAGAAAAAGTGATGGAAGAGAATATGGAGGGAAGGAAGAGTGTGCTGCCATTTGTGGGCATGGTGATGGTGCAGTTTGCACAAGTGAGGCTGATGATCGCAGGCAAAGAAGCCATGTCAGATGGAATTACTGACTTCACCTTAGTCTTATACTCAAATTCCCTCGCTTCCCTTATTCTCCTTCCTTCTTCCTTTTTCATTCACAGGTACATAGATATGTACATATATATACATATATATATATCCATCTAAAATGACAACAGTTTATCATTACACCTACCCACACACCCACAACCACCGTTTTTCACCTCGCCGGAATTACAGTTTGGCCGAAACTACAGTTTTTGTGTTTGGGGTTGATTTGTGAAGTAATTTCGGGGTTGATTGCAAATTGGTTCATGGGATTGATCGCAACATCATCGTCTAGGCCCAGTAAGCAGATTGTAAGCCATCATAACGTCATTATCTTCTGGATTATCCCGTCATTATTATGGGGTTGATCGGAATTTTTTTTTGCCTTTACCCCTTACCATTATTATGTTTAGTCTGGAACTCCTAAGATCTACGGAGTAATTAGGGATGACAACTTGTTGGTGGGTGGGCATTAAATGCTTATCATGATGAGAGAGAGACATTAACTTGAGGTTGACTCTATTTTGAATACCTATTTTATTATGTCTGTTTGTGTATATATATATATATATGTCTCTGTGTGTATTGTGTAATTTGTGTATATTACTATATCTTTGAGCCGGACCTTCGAGACTATACTATGAGAATGAAGGCTGGGATTACTACCATCCGAGCAACAGAAAGCCTGGCACAGGGGGATTCGCTGACCCTTTATAGAGAGCATTTCAAATTTGTATTTCTGTATACGGAAAAGGAAGGGCAAACATGTCATTTGAATAGTCAAATTAAAGTCAAATGAGAGTAAACATGTAATTTTAATCATTAAAAAAATAATTTAGTGGGTCAAACCAAAGTCAAAGGGTAAGAATATCTTTTATACGTAAAAAATGGTCTGACACACCTGTCAATTAACTTTTGAGTGTGAATAAAAAATGGAACAGACGTTGTTTATGTAATAGTTATTTTCGAAAGATATTTTAAAGTGATATTTGACTAAATTTCAGGGGGTGTCAGTGAAATTATCTCATATATTATATATATATATATATTTTGTTCTTAATCCTTTTTTTTGATATTTTTTTTACTCAATTTATTCAACATAATAATAAAAATAATAATGATTTGAAATGTATGTTATTTAAAAAGTAATAATTATTTATTTTTAAAATTAAGGTTATAATTGTCTTTATAAATTGCCGTGCAAACCTAAAAAAACGTGTGTCCACATATATATAATAACAATAATAATAATAATAATGTAAAAGCAAGTCTTCGAATAACTTCGAAAAATGGATGCCCGCAGTAGCAGCCGTCGTTCCCAGCGCCTAATCGCAACCGCCTCCGTCACCGCCGCCGCTGGCAACGCCACCGCCATTGCCATCGCCAACGCCACCGACACCGTCACAGCCACCTCCGTCGCCGTCGCCACCGCCACCGCCACCAGCGCCCAACCGCCGCCGACACAACCCTATGCTGCATCGATTTTCCTCCAAGGTAATCCTCTAGGGTTTTACATATTGCTCTAAATTAAGTACATTTTAATTTAGGGGCATCATGTAATACATAAACTAATGCAATACACGTCTTATTGCTTATTATACATGTCAGTAATCCTATAGGTTTTAATCCATAAACAATTATTAAATTAATGTAACACACATATGTACATGTATGTTACTATGCATGTGAATAAACAAACAATTAATTGTTAAGCACATGATACATTTATGTAGCTATTACAATTGTTTTTCATGAACAATCCAGGCACATGCTGTGAATATGCTGAACAATGTGATGATTTTTAAGTTTACAGAGTCATGTTTCTGGAGTCAAGCTTGTAGAATCAAGTTTTTAGAGTCATTACTTGTACAAAGTGACTATCTTATGCTTATTAATCCCCAAATGAATGATTGATAATATCATAATTATCGTTGTTAACATCATCATCATCATCATTCGATGGTGGTGTTGTTATTGTTATTGTAAATTTGATGCGGTGTGTGAGGTTTTCTCCGAATCCACTTAACTGATTGGGCACGGTGGATCTGCAATAATCTTCTAATATCGATCTGTCAACATCCGGAACTTTTGCCACTAATCACATATGTTTTTTTCACGACAATACCTCTTTAGCCTAAATCATGAACTGGGAGTCGGTTAAGACTACACTGCTACAAAAAGTGCTTAACCCTACCCATAAGTTTAAGATTCCATTACTCTTTCCAATAAGCAGGTTGCTAAGTGAGACCCAAATCTGCATTTATGTCTCTCTTACTCATCATTCTTTGACATAGGCCTTACTCATATCTAGTTTTAATGCCATAAAACCTTCGTTACCCTGCTTTTAAAGTAATGGAGAATATCATTCGCAATCATAATGTTGTTGTGTATAAGGCTACCTGGCACAAAAGCTGATTGATGCTCACTAATCAGATTCGAAACAAGTGGTTGAAGTCTATTTGCCAAAACCTTCGAGAAAATCTTATACATAAAGTTACATAATGAAATTGGGCGGTACTGACACATCTTCGTAGGAGATTTTACCTTAGGAATCAAGACTATATTTGTATGATTAATACTTGTAAGGAAACTACTGAGAGTAGAAAATCAGGGAAAAACTGTCCGGGCCTGGTGCCTTGAAAGGACCCAAAGCATCGACTGCTATCTTTCAACAGTTCTCTATTTATATATTCAGAAAAGTTTTTTTTTTTTTTCTTAGTTGTATTCAGAAAAGTTTGGCGGAACTAAATTTCAAAACTCATCAAACCCATCATCTGCTCTAGATGTAAATAGATTGTTAAAATACTTCTCTGCTATAGAATCCTCCAAACCTGTGATTTCGTTCTTTCAATACTGTTTGACTGTTTTCATGTGAAAAAATCCCATATGTCCATGTTGCAACCAAGCCATACGAGACTTCTGCTTCGAGTATAGTTCCTCATCCAGCCACGCCTCAAGCAATTGACTTTGCCATAAAATATAATCTGATCTCATGAAGCCTGTAGATGATTCCTTTAGTGCCTGTAGTTTCTCCTTCAATTCCTTCATCCTTTTTCCAGAATTACATTCTCTGCTCATACACCATTGTTTAATATTCTCCTTTCAAAATTTAATTTTCTCCAACTGAAATTGGACTGAGCCATAAATTGGAGTTCCCCATGCATTCTTGACTATCTCACCAAAAATTATTGTCATTTAACCAACACGTCAAAATAAAATTGTCATTTTCTTCGAACAGTTTGAGACTCTGTTAGCAATACTAAGCGCTATGATCGGAACCAACAAGTAAAATATTCTGCAACTTATACTTTCTAACTTCACTATCCATTCCACAGTACCCAAGCCCCGATCTAATCGTTCTTTCACATTTGCACAACCATTCCGGCTATTAGACCAAGTTTATGAATATCCTTTATAACCCAAATCCACAAGACCACAGTCATCCACCAATCTTTTAAAGCTGGCCAAAGTCCAAGCCACACGAGTTCTACCACCTAATTTTTCTAGTTAAGAACATCCAGACTTCTGAAATTCCTCTGTAGCATAAACTGCCGTCATATACCACACAATTTTTTTTCTTCTGGAATACTCCATCTTGATAGTAATCTGAAATAAATTACAATCCACAACCCTTTTGTTCCCATCAAACCATCCAAACAAAGCCAAATGACCCGCATTACCCTCTGAATCCTGACCCGTCAAAAAACTGGCACCCAACCTGCACTTCCAGATTTTCAAACTTGTCAAGAATTTGCTTGGTTTCCAAAAGCACCTAAGATTCTGAGTAAACTGCTCCTCAGATTTTTATTTCCCGTTCATTTGAAGACCCATTTATCAAAGCTGGACTTAGGTTTGAAGATGTACAGAAGCAGTACACAGATCGAAGATGTTGAGAGTTAATCATACGAAAGTATTGTGCACAGTATTCTTATGCTATTACTTCGAACTCATTTACATGTTTAATTCTATATGAACTCTGATTACATAGATAATGATTAGATAAAAAGTTATTTTCCATGATTGTATTTGGATGTTGATGTGTGTAACCCCACTTTTAATGGTGTGACTTTGTGTATCTATATCTTCGTCTGTGTTATTGACATGTTCTTAAAATAATGTGGTGTAATATGGCGAGTATGCTGTAAACCTGCATCCGGTGATCACATTATAACTTTTTAGGCATTTGCATCCTGCTGTTTATGTGATGATTTACCGCACTTTAGTTAAAGGGTTATTTTATGACTTTTACTAGCTAAATGGTGATGCATTATGATGCTTATGAATATTGGTTTTGTGCCTTCGAATGATTAACCTTACATTACTAGTTGAGTGTGTCTTAAAGGCAATTCACTATGGTGATGTTTATTTATTTATTTATTTATTTATTATTATTATTTTTCATAAATGTAATGAGATCTTCTAGTTGACTGAACCTAATGGAAGGAGAGCCTTTGGCCCTCAATTTCGTTCGAACTCTTTGGTTTCATTATCCTTCTTTTTCTTTTTCTTTTTCTTTTTCTTTTTTTTTTCTAAGATGTTTTCATTGCACTTCGTTTGTGTTGGTTTTATAGTAGACAAAGTATTCAATATGGTATACTCTAATTTTTTTTTTCTTCCTTACAGTGAGGAGGGATCCTTAGTTGTCCGCTGACAAGCTGCGAAGAAATGCTCAAGTTTAGGTTCTATTAGTAAATGTTTTCTATATTCTATGAGACTTTCATCCTGCAGATGTGAATACATTTGTTCCCAGATTTCTATCTTCTATGAGAAATTCATCCTGCAGATATGGGATACATACTTTGGTTCCCCTGTTTTTCATCTTTCTTATTAAAGTTGGTTATATTCAATTTCGTCCGATAGGCCAAAAATTTTGTCTGCTCGTCCATCACAATAGTGGGGTTCTCGTTCTCCATGTGAAACGCTTGGCGTGATACCGAATAAGGATAAAACTAGTTTATACTTGTTGAAGTTTCATTCAAGTCTGAAAATTTTGTGTATCCATTATATCAACTATTCATACAAGTACGCAGGGAGGCCCATTTCCAACGACATGAGGTTAGGGCGAGGCTTTACTTGTACATGGCTCGGGACTTGGTCCAAAAAGGCAATCTGGGCAGGTCCAGGTCAGGGATGTAGTATCATATTTTCGTAGCATGAAGGTGTGCTTTGGCGATTTGAATGGAGTTTATTGATCATTTGGGCTCGATTTTTATTTTTTTTAGGTAAAATATTTTCTTTTATTTTTTGATATTTGATAAAGGTATATAGATCGAGTTCATCGGGTGAGACGTTTAAAATAACTTACTGAAAATTAATAAATAAATTATTTTTATTAGGTTGTAATATATTTTTTCTTCATAAATATTTTACGACAATCAAATATCAGAAAATACAAAAAAGTATTTTACGCTCAAATCAACGGGGGTATATCTCTAAAGTCGAAAGCGGCCAACCTTTTCTACAGAACCAAAATGGCTAATGGCAGTCAAGTTGATTGTTGGGATGACCCATAGCTACTGACCAACTTCCATATCTCACCTGATAATTTAAGTGTAATTTTATCCTTTCTTTTTTGGAAGGCAAGTGTAATTTTATCTTGTTTGGTATGGGTAAAGAGGGGAGAACGGAGTTTTCTCGGTGGGAAAGGCAAAAGTGGAATAATGTCAAAATATGGACACCTTTCACTTTAAGGATTGAACAAATAACTTGATTGAACCCTTGCTCCAAGGGTGCTGTATCATGTCGGATATCGACACGCGTGTGTCCAAGCTTCCGACTACACATCTTAAAAGTATTGGATGAAAGATAAGACACAACATAGTATTTATTCATAGCAGGGTATATATTCTATAATTTTTTTAATTAGAAAGTAGGACATCAAATGTAATATTTTAATAGGGTCTTCTAACAGATTTTGCCCGATGTGGTTTGGTACAATAAAAAAGAAAAGAAATGGATGGCAACATTAGTTAAGAGAAAAAAAAATTAAGAAAAGAAATGAGAAGATAGTGTTGAAGATGGATAGTGTTTTATTGATTAATAAAGTAAAAGAAAATAAATGATAATAATCATATTTGAAAAAAAAAATTAAATAATATTATTTAATAAATTTACTACTAGATATATATATATATATATATATATATATATATATATATATATATATATATATATATATATTTACCAAGAATGAAGCAAAATGGGTGGTAAAATGGGTATTAGAATTTTTTTTAATAAACTTTATAGCCCTTCTTTTCATTTCCTCCTTTTTTTTTTTTTTAAAAAAAAAAAAAGGAACAAAATTCAGCCTAAAAAAAAAGAACAACAAAATTCACCCAACAATATTTTGTATCCCTCTATTTCCTTCTTTTCCTTTAAATATGTACCAAACACAAAATAACATTTCCGTCCATGACTTTTTTTTTTTTTTTTAATTTTTTATTTTCCTTTCCTTTCATAACCAAACTGGCCCGAACAGACTTTGCCCTAGCTCCAAAGTTCCCAAATCCTTGCCCTTTGCAACGGCGATTTGTCTCTCCAGTCTCGAGCGTTTACTACTAACGTTCTCCGGCGTCTACTACCAAGTGTTTTCCTGCGACTCCACAAGGTAGGTTTCTTTTCTCTCTCTTCCTCTCTCCTCTTCTTCCCACTCTCATACTTGATATTCTGTGATTTTTTATCTATGTTTATTGTGTCGCTTGTATTCATCTCTTCTTACGAATTACAATCTCACATTTCTGATATATATATATATCTTCATTTCATCAACAACAGACACTAAAACTGCAAAATTGATATTGTTGAAACTCACCAGCTTGGAGCTATTAATTGAAAGTTATATGTTTTTGAAGTTACTACAAGAGCAAGTTTTTTAATATGTGTATAGAGAGAAATGCAACTACTTCATATGACTACTGGATTCAAGTTCTTAATTTTGTTGACTAATCTTTACCCTCTCTGGATGTTATGAACACACAGTACATATTTGATAATATGTTTCTTAGGTGCTTTTTGTTGATTCTAATTTGTGGGTCCCTGGGGAGATATATAATCACCTTGATGCTATAAGACATCCCTCTTTTATATAATGTTACCTCTGTGATAGCTGTTGTTTTGAATTTCCGGATTCGATGAGAGCCACATTTTGAAACCATTTCTAAACCTCCTTGAAACATGTAGGAGCCCCTTTTATCTAGTGTGATTGCTGTTATTCTGAATGCCCAAGAAGGTCATAGTGTAGCTGGTAAATTGTTTTGGAAAGCCCAGTAACTTTTATCATATTGCTGCAGCTTCTACAAATTTATGGAGATTGACTCCTTAATGCATTGGATGCAGCTTTCCTGAAAATAGACTTTTTTTTTTTTTTTTTTTTTTTTTTTTTCTAGTTGGTACTCGTACAAATAGCCTCCATTGAGGTTCGAACCTCTGACCTCCTTTTGGGAAGTAGGGGCGTTGTACCGCTAGGCCACAAGCCTATTGGTAAAATAGACTTGAAGTAGGAATGATCTAGTTGATGTCATATAATTATCTCATTACATGATTGCTGTTGGATTTTAATGAAAACCTTAATCTAGGATTAACTGTTTCATTTCAACGTGGTTCAATTTGAAATATGGTCTGCTCATGGCAAAACCTGATTCATGTAACAAACATCAAATAATTTGGGATAAGGCTTTGTTGAGTTTGGTCTTTCCATGGATTGGCCACCAAAAAGAATAAAAATAGATGTTGTTTGTCACCTAAGAAGCATGGACACGGATACGGGACACGGATACGACACGACACGGACACAGCGACACGGCAAATCCAAAAAAATTAGGACACGGACACGGCGAATAGTATATATGTATAAATATATATATATATCAGCATTAATAATTTAAAAAAAAAAAACACTGATATGTTTAGGTTGGAATATATATATATATATCACTGATATGTTAGTATATATATATATCAGCATCTTTAGGACACGGACACGGCGAATTGTGGCATCTTTAGGTTAGTATATATATATATCACCATCTTTAGGGTAGTACAAAAAAAAAAATTAACATATCAGCATTAAAAATTTAAAAAAAAAAAAAAAAAATCCAGAAAAGTGTGTCCGAGCCGTGTCTGAGCCGTGTCCGAGCCGTGTCCGAGCTGTCTGAGCCGTGTCCAAGCCGTGTCCGAGCCGTGTCCGAGCCGTGTCCAAGCCGTGTCCGAAAATAAAAAAAATAAAAAAATTCCAGACACATTTTTTGGCGTGTCCGACACGTGTCGGGGCGTGTCCGACGCGTGTCCGTGTCCGACACGTGTCGGACACGGATTCTTCGCCCATTTTGGAGTGTCCGTGCTTCTTAGTTTGTCACTAATATATCATACCAAAATCTGAAATATATGATATGCTTTGGTGTTAAGGCAACTCATATGTACTTGTTTTAGGTATTGATAAGTCCATCCTAGTCTATAAATTCATATAATTTTTAACCATGAGTTATACCAAGAATATTACTTCTTTTTAACTTGAATATAGACAGAAATTTTAGTGAAAAGAAACATCAAGAGAGAGCAAGAAAGAGGAAGTTATAGGTACCTTTTCATACTTTGTATCTGGAGTACTTCACTTGATTTCCTCTGCAGGAAGAACACAATTTCTTATTTGATATGGGACAATTTAGAACTTTTTTCAATTGTTCTCGTCGAACCAGAAAAGGTTTTGCAGTCATTTTTGCATCATTTCTATATTCCCTAGCATTGTGGAGGAGACATGAAGAACTTTAAAGGAATCCATATTTCTTGCAGTTTGAAAAAATATTAAAAACAAGAGGGAGAGTGAAAGAACAAGAACATATTTGGTTATGTATGTATTTCTTTGCTTATCTCAATTAATGAGTAAGGGGGCACACGCTTTCCTTATCGCTTTCCATATCTCTTCTTCTATATGCATTTCAATTTTTTGTCCTATCTATCTCATGCAGTGCCAAGTGGCATTTCAAAGGAAGATATACAAAAAAACTTTACACGGATGATTAAATTAATGAAAGTTTTCTGAAGGGCTTTTAGATTTGTTATTTCTTGTTGCTTTAGAAGAAAAAAATAATAATAATAACATAGCAAATTGATAGCTTCTTATACTCATCAATCAAGGATGAAAGGAGAGTAGTAGATTGGGCATAGTACAGATGTAGTGTTCTACATAATTTACACAAAGTGCTAAGATTTACAAAAGATCATATTAAAATCAACATTATGATTCCAAAATAGTCTTAAATTGGAAGCAAGTGAACTGGCTGGCTAGTCCACTCTGAGTTATAAAAAATCACAACTAAAGATTCTTCGATTTAATATTAGTCAAAGCGTTTATTGTTGAGTTGCGGAATGTGTGTCAGGTTCTCTCTTTTGATTTAGAAAAACAAGATGAATGTTGCAACCTCACTATGTAGAAGATTGAATCTCAATGAGCTGGTTACAAAGACTCCTGTCTACAGCACTGCTAATGGTATGATTTTCTTATTTTTATTTAGAACGGTACTTGTTGTATGACGGGATTATTGGTTTGCTTGGTCTAACAATGTTTCCATTATACTTAATTTAGATGTATCTGGAGGAGGATTGAGTCTGATGTTCAGGCGATGGGCTACGAAAAAGACAGCAGGGTCCACAAAGAATGGGCGAGACTCGAATCCCAAGAGTCTTGGGGTGAAGAAGTTTGGTGGAGAGGTGAGGTGATGTTGCTTTAGTTGCAAAAAGAAGCAGAAAATAAAGGGAGAAGAAAAAATCCGATGTTATCATATATTGGCTATTGAACCTTATTTATTGTTGTGATTTCTGTTCATCACGCAGAGAGTAATTCCTGGGAATATCATTGTTCGTCAAAGAGGCACCCGTTTCCATCCAGGCGATTATGTTGGTATCGGAAAAGATCACACCCTGTATGCTCTAAAAGAAGGCTGTGTCAAATTTGAACGCCACAAGTTGAGTGGTCGCAAGTGGGTGCATGTTGAGCCCAAGGAAGGCCATGTGCTTCACCCTGTTTACTCAAATGTTGCAGCTCCTAAGCTGAAAACGGCTGCCTAAGTAAGTATCTTGTTATCATCTGAAGTTAATTATGAAATGCAACCGCAGTGGCCTTGGTATCTGATGGACTTGGTAGCTAGTATTTTCATGGCCATAAACATGGAATGAGTTGCAGGCTAATAAAATACCTTCGATCTCTGCCTTTTTTTTTTTGGTGGTAAAATTTATCTTTTGAAAGCCTGTTTTCATCTTTAAAAACGTTTGGCATGTTACTGATACTCGAATTCATGAGCTGCAGTTAAGTCTCCCATCATCTATTGAGCCTCTTTTCATACATGTGCCTGTGTGATTGTTTGGACATAAGAAAGGTCTGGGTACTTGATGCTTTTAGTTGTGGTTGAGTCGAGAAAGAAAACGAAACAGATGATAAATGAGAAGGCATTACACACTTCATATCAGGCATGTATATTTGTAACAAAAATATGAAGATAATTAACTGTCATGTACAAATTTGAAAAAAAAAGAAAATATATTCACAGTGGATTTGTACAGATTATCAGCTAATGTGGAATAAAACAAGCTTTGACTATCCACACTTTCAAAGAGGACAACCGTAACAAAGAATGCAGAGAATCTCTTAGAGTTGCAGCCGTGTTACCACTAAAGAAGACTGAGGGTTTTAATTTCAAGTAATGGAGAATCTCGTTCGCGATCATGATGTTGTTGCGCATAAGCCTACCTGGCACAAAAGCTGATCGATGTCAGATTAAAAAGAAGTCTATTTGCCAAAACCTTTGAAAAAATCTTATACATAACTTTACATAATGAGATAGGAGATTTTACCTTAGGAGTCAAGACTATATTTGCAAGATTAATACTTTTAAGAAGATTACCTGATCTAAGGAAACTATTAAATCCTCAGAGTAAATCATCCTTAATCATTTCCCAATGCGTCTTATAGAAAACCAGGGAAACCCATCCGGGCCTAGTGCCTTGAAAGGACCCATTGCTTCGACTGCTACTTTGAGTTCTCTATTTGCAGATTCAGACATTTTTTGACAGAATGAAATTCCAAAACTCATCAAACCCATCATCTTCTCTAGATGTAAATAGATTATTAAATAATTCTTTGCTATAGACCTTACACTTCCCATGTCATCGCACCAGTCCCACTAGAATCCTCCATACCCGCAATCTCATTCCTTTGACGCCGTCACGAGTCTTTTGCTTCCAATAGAGTTACTCATCCTGCCACGCCTTAAGCTGTTGACTTTCCAATAAAACATAATCTGATATCATGAAACCTGTTGATGATTCCTTTAGTGCCTGTAGTTTCTCCTCCAATTCCTTAATCCTTTTTCCACAATTACATTCTCTGCTCATACACCATTGTTTAATATTCTCCTTACAAATTTTAATTTCCTTCTTCAACTGAGATTGGACAGAGCCATAAATTGGTGGTCCCTATGCATTCTTGACAAATCTCACCAAAATTATTCTCACTTAACCAACGAGCATCAAAATGAAATTGTTGTTTTGCCCCGAACTGTTGACTCTATTAGCGATAACAAAGCGCTATAATCTGAACCATCAACTAAAATTTGCTGCAACTCAATACTTTATAAATTCACATTTGCATAACCATCCCTATTGTTAGACCAAGTGTATTAAATATCTTTCATAACGCAAATCCACAAGACCGCAATCATCCACCAATCTTTTTAAGCTAGCCAAAGTCCAAGCCGCACGAGTTCTACCACCTAATTTTCCCCCTACATGTAAGAGATCATTGAAGTCACCCAACATCACCCAATTCAGACCAACTCGTTTTGGTAACCCCTGCACATATAACTGCTGTTTTTATTTTATTTTAGCTTGGAATAAACACACTCAAAATAGAAGCCTCTACCTTCTATTTTGGAATGCAAGGAAGTTACACTAGGTTATAGCCTTTGGTTATAAACACTGTTTTCTCCTATTGCTGTGATATACCACCCAACATTACTTCTTCTGGAAGACTCCACCTTGATAGTAAATCTGAATTGAATTACAATCCACAACCATTACCATCAAACCATCCAAACAAAGCCAAAACCACCCGCAATACGTTCTGAAAGCTGACCCGTCAAAAGACTAGCTCCCGGACTACACTTTCAGATTCTCTAACTTGTTAAGAATTTGCAACCCAACTGGACCGTGCATTTCCTGATTCAGATGAGATCTTAAAGACAACCTGCCATCATGAGAAGGCTGGGCTGAATCAATCATACAGCCCGGAACAGAAGTAGTAGACAGATGAAGAGGTTGGGAGTTCTATTTTTATTTTATAAGTAATCGTATCTTATTGTGGAGTGTATCTACCAGGTGGAGAGCCTTCAGCTCCCTCTTTTCATTCACACCCTTCCGCTTAAAGTCACCACTATTGTTTCTGTTTTTTTTCGAAGAATAGAGGTGGTTTTCATTGCACTTCTTTTGTATTAATTTTATAGTAGATATTCAATATTGTTTATTTATTTATTTTTTGTCCTTTTCCATTTTTTTCTTACAGTTAAGGTGCGTCCGTCCTAAGTTGGCTGCTGACAAGCTGCTGCAAAGAAATGTTCAAGGGTAGGCTCTATTTGTAAATGCCACACTTAGCCATGAAACAGATTTCTATCTTCTATGAGAATTCATCATCCCTAAGGCTGCAGATTCACATACATACTCTTCTTCCCTTGTTTTCATATTCGTATTAAAGTTCGTCTTTCAATTTCGTCCAATAGGCTGAAAATTTCGGCATACTCTAGTTTATACTAGTTAAAATTTCATTGAAGTCCTTGAAAATTTTGACAAATGGGTGAGTCATTGAACCCTAGTAGGCTGCCCTAGAATTTCTCCAGCCGAGAAATTCTAGAATATTCCGGTAGTGCGCATCTCCATTCACTGTCAGCCATTACAACAGGTGGAATGAATTATTTGTCCCTTATCAATTATTATTATTTTTTTTGGGCAAAAAACTCACCCATTTGTCCCTATGGGTGAGAAAAACTTGATCGCGCCTGTTGCATTGGGGCGTATTTGATCACATGGACCATCCAATAATTTATGATAAAATGGTTTGAGAATTCAGAATCATTTAGTAATTTCTCTAACTCAATAATTTATAGTTTCCACCCATGTGAATGAAATTCTATGCGCAGGTGTTGTGTGCACCAAAACAATATGATTTTATTACATTCGTTTAATGCCATATAAGTCACACTCATCGTCACATGAAATTATCATTAATAATGCACTGTAGGGTATGTTTCCTAGAAATATTTTTTAACAATTTTTTTTAAAAAAATAAAATAATAAACATAAGAATTTAATTTGTGTGAGTTGTCCAACACGTGTCAAGTCGTTTCCCACATATATCGGTGTGAGATTCAAATTATTTGTCCTCCAAGTCATGTTCGTTCTTCCTAGAATACAATGGATCTAAAAATATCAATGGATGTAAGATTGTACTGTGGCTATTTTTTAAAATTATGTGGGAATATGAGAGTATTTAAGAGAATCGATTACCTAGTATTATGAATGTGGGAGCGATCAATTATTATGATTATCTTTTAAATTTAAAAAAATTAGTGAGGATGAGAATGTGAAATGAGGTATTTTTATAAATTCAGTTGGGATATTATTAAAATTTTAACAAAAGTTATAAGTAATAATATAAATAGAAAAAACAATTAGTGCTCCCATGCTCGGTCGTGCCTGATCATTTTAGAGCATATTCAATGGTAAAATGTTAAATTCGGATGCCAAATCTATATTTTGATAGTGTTACACTGTCAAAATGTTACATTTTAGTAATTCTACTCCAATAATGCATTTTATGCAAAATGCTATTTTTTGACACAACCACTATTCTTTTTCAACTACCATTCCCATCATTCATATTTGCATCAGTAATGTTAATATTAGACACATTCCAAGTCAAGTTGTAGATATTAGAAGGAAACTAAAATTAAACTTAATTAAAAAGAATCAAAAATCTAAAATATCTGGTCAAAAAAGGACCCAAAATATATATATATATATGTGTGTGTGTGTGTGTGTGTGTATAAATTTATATATTTAATTATATATATATATGTATATTTCAAAAATATATATATATTATATATATTTGATTATATTATTATTATATATATATATATATATATATATATATATATATATATATTTAGGGCACATCATTTCAGCCTCCCAAATCACCATATATAGTTTTAGGGCAAATCATTTCAGCCTCCCCAATCGCCTCCATCTCTATTCTCGTTCTCTACTCTGAAATTGCCCCCCCTTTGCAAATGCAAACTACAAAATCAACAAGAATCAGAAGTTCAAAACTGATATCTTTCAGTTTCTATCGCCCGCTATTCCAGTTCGAGTTTGCCGTTCGCAAGCTTCAGCCGCTGTCTCTCAACTCTCAAGCTTGCCCCCCCTCTCCCTCTGCAACTGCTAACTTGTGCGTATGGGTTTTTTATTTTTTTTATTTTTTAAATCAACTAATCAAGGTCTGTAATTCTTGTTTTACAAACTAAATCTTATTTGGTGAATTTTTTTTTATGATTTTTGTTAAATATATGTATATATAGAATCTAAACGGATCGTTGCCGAGGAAATTGCTGGAATTGGAAGCTTTTGCTCTGAAATGGACGAAGGAAGAGAGCGACTGAGGGCGAAGAAGTAGAAGTGAGAGAAGAAGAAAGAGTGGAGAAGCAGAGGACATCGGTTTCTGCCATTAAAAAAAGAGATTTTGGTAAAGCGAGAGAGAGAGAGACATGGCAGGCAACAAAAAGCAAATAGCTATTGCTATTTGTTTTGTTAGATTTGGCACCAAAAATAGTAAAGGCAAAATTTGACAGGTGATATAGCAGCCCATTGGAGAACTCAATTTTAACTCACTTGCTATATTTTGAATTGACAGCCCATATAGGTTGGAGATGCTCTTAGTAGTCACTTTTTTACGTGAATATGATGACCCGAATGTTCATAACCATGGGACCAACTTGGAGGAAAAAATTAATAATGCCAATCCAAATCCTAATAACTACATGTTTATACATATTAATAGTTTCTAAAAATAAACCATTTACTAAAATGAAAATATTCAAATAACAACAATTTATCATTTTATAAAATATATTAAAATAAATAATTTTGTAAAATAATTGAAAAAAACAGTATTGAATTATACTGACAATGGACAAGTAAAGATAAAAATAAAAGTTTTAAAAAAAAGTAAAAATAAAAATAGAAATAAAAAATGAAAATAAAATGCAAACTAAAGAAAACAATACTTTCCAAACTCC